CCACTCTCAGCCATGTGGGTATCCAGTGCTCTTAACTGCCACGCCATCTGCTGTTAGTTTTCCATCTCTGTGTTTTTGTTTTATGTTATAGAAGATTTCCTAGTACTTTTCAATTTACTGCTGAGATTTTTCATCAATGTGATCATAGTTTTAGGGTATCTTATTTATTGTTTCCTTTAATAGCAACATGTCCTTGTTTCATTAATGTTCTGTATTTTAATAAAGTGAGTGTATTAATCATAGTTTTTATTTCTTTGATACGATCTCTTTCTTCCATGTGGGTTTGTCTTGTTCTCAGTGTTGGGTGTCTGAGGCTTTCTTTAGCTAGTGTTGCTGAATTAGTGGTTCACGAACGAGAGGATGGAGAACTAGAAGAGCTGATTGGAAGCTCTGTGCATGGAGTGTCATTGTAGGGTGACGTGGCAGGGCTGTTCCCTTGAGAGTTCCCCAGTCTGCTCACCTGCATGCTTTCTGTTTGTGACCTCGTCAAATTCCCCAGTGAAGAAGGCATATGCAGGCTGCTGTGAGGTTGGAAGCCATGTTGGGAAAGAGGACTGAGGAAATCAGGTCGTGTGTGAGCATTCACTGGATGTTAGTTAGGCTATGTTCTTGCCTCCTCCTGCTCATGCTTTTCTGTAGCCCCTGACCATCACAGCAGAAAAAGAATGGAAGGGAGACAGCTCTGGGATGTGGGAGTTAGGTTTACTCCTCCATTCATCGGCAGGAGTAGGAAAAACACGTTTCTAGCCCGTAGGGAAGTGAAAGGGTATCTGAAGCTATGACTCCTTATAAAATTGATTTCCAGGCTCTTTCTCTTTTCAGTATTCCTGGTATCCTCACCTCACTTCTAAAAGTTCCTCGTGATACCATTTCTGGAGTCTTTTGGGGACTGAGTGGTAGGTTTGCTTGCTTCTTGGCTTCTCCCCATGTTTGGCTTAGGACTCAGTTTTCCTGGATTTACTCAGTTACTGCTTGTCCTTCTGCTTTGTGGGGTGAGTGTCTCCCCTCTTTCAGTCTTTTATGTTACAGGTTTATTTTTTAAGCCCTTTTCCTCTTATTATAATGGGATTTCATGACTAGAATACCCTGTAGACTACCCTTTTCACCCAAAATCACATTTTAACATTCCTTTCAGAAGTGTACTTCTTCATCAGCATTTTAATTGACTCTAAGATCCCAGTTTTTTAGAGATATATTGGGTCATCAGGTATGTCATGACGTATTTTTCTGTGTTCTATGCAAAAATGCATCATGCCTTCTCAGACAGCCCAGAAACAATCCTGATTGTTATATGTACATGGGTTGTTATGAGCAGTATTGCAAAGAACCTCCTTCCTGCAAACTTTTGTACTACTCTTTACGTAAATTCATAATGTGAGAAAATTATGCATCTTCTCTCAAAATGTTTTTTTATACAAAATGTCATCTTACATTTAATAATATGAAGATGTTCCTTTTTCTATTTTAGACCATGCAGTGTCAATATTCCTTTTTGGGGGGAGAGGTTTTTGCTATAGGGTGTGTGTCCTCACCGGAAAGACAGAGCGAGAAATCACTCCCCAGGGAGGATGGCCACACCGCAATCCCTTCTTCTCCCTTCTTCTCTTGGGATCTTGGGCATGCACACACATTCGCCTGGCATGAGTTTAAGCCACCAGTTTCGGGACTCAAATCGTGGTTGACTACATGGGAGTCCGGCGACACAGCCGTTACGCCAACTGCTGGTCCCCAGTGTCAGTATTCCATTTAACAACTTTTTCTACCATATGGTAAATTCCATGTTTGTTTAATTCATTCAGTTACCTGTGCTCTGCCTGGAACAAGGGAACATAGGTGCCCAGTACATATTTTTGCATGAAGTAGACATCAGCACAATAATTCATTTTTAAAATTTGTTTTACGCACACACGTAAAATTTGTTTTATGCAGCTTCAAAGACGATGGATTGCTGTGGAAGGAAGCAGGCTGTAATGTTTGAAATACTCTTGTTTCATCACTTTCATCCTGAGGTAACTCAGGTCATAATGTTAGTAAGATTGCAAAGCAGGAAGGAGCCCCTGTGACAAGATGATGCACAAGTGCGCCGGCCCACACACCTGAGAGCGAGCGGAAAGACTTGTAACAAATGTCTGATAAGGCAACGTACTAATAGTTCAGGGTTGATATTTACTTTGGAATTTAACTTAAGGAGGAGCATCTGTTACATAGACATGATAGATACATATTGGGACTTATTGTGTGGTTGGACTAAAGTACTATTTGCCTCCTCTAGTCCAGGTTTCTCAGAGTGGATTCTGTAAATCCACTGTCTCAGATTCACATTTGATCTTACTCTTCTTGTTTCACCTGAGAGCTGTGGAATCAGAATCACTGTCATGGGGGTGCGAGTCTGTGAAGAACAGGCTCTTCTGATTCCCACCGCGATCGGTGTACCTTTTCTAGACTATGTTACAGGAACTGTTTTTATAAATTAAAAACTGTTGAAATATGATAGGGTCATGGGAGATCAGCAGATGGCATAATGGTTATGTCACCAGACTCCCATGTAGTCAGTCTACCACAATTCGAGTCCCAGACCCGGTGGTATAAAACTCATGCTGGGCGCATGTGCTTGTGTGTCCAAAATATGTGGGAGGAGAAGGAATTGTGGCATGGCCCTCCTCCTGGGGCGGGGGGGTGAGTTCAAGCTTTCTATCTCTGTCAAGCACATACGCCCTATCATATAAATCTCTCTTTTAAAAAAAAAAGAAAAGGAAAAAAAGGAAAATTATCAGGTTATTTAGGAAGCCATGACACATTTTTGGATTGAAAAACAGGAAAATATATCATGTTTTCCCTGATGGTCTAAAAGAATAATAATAGCTAAAAAAAATTCTGGTAAATTGATTTAACATATTCTATTTATTTTTCCTTGAAAAATTATTCTGTAGTTGACCAATAAGCTTAACATGCAAAATTCAAGAAAAAAATTATCGCATTTTCCCCTGTACTTATCCGATGTACCCAACGCTTGGAAGCATTATTTGTGGGTTAAAAATTACTAAGTGCACAGGCTACACATCTACCATATTGTATGTGTATGGTATTTCTGACCTAGAATTTTAATTTTTTTCTTTTTCTTTTTTTTGGAGAGGTTTTTTGTTTTTTTTTTTTGCTATAGGGCACTTGTGCTTGCCAGAGAGACAGAAAGCGAGAAATCACCCCCCAGGGGGGATGGCCATGCCGCAATCCCTTCTCCTCAGTTCTCCTCTTGGGATCGTGGGCACGCATGCACACGCGCCCAGTGTGAGTTTTAAGCCACTGGGACCGGGACTCGAACCATGATCGTCTACATGGGAGTCCAGCAACATAGCCATTACACTAACTGCTGGTCCCCAAGTCTTTTCTTTATGTTATAATTATTTTATTTAAATTTATTTCTTTATTACTTTATTTATTTTGATTTTACCAGAGAGAAACAGAGTGAGAGCGAGAGAGAGAGAAAGTGAGAAAGCAAGCCACCAGGTCCGGGACTCAAACTGCAATTGGCCGTGTGGGAGTCCAGTGCCCTTAACCACCGTGCCACCTGCTGACCCCTAGAATTTTAACTTTTTAACTCAATAATCTTTATTTTAAATCATACTTTTGTTGAAATTTAGGCAAGCTGAATTTGTTATGAAAGAGATTTGTAAACTGAACATTGCTGAGGGTGATAATTTATGCTTTTTTTTTTTTTTTTGGAGAGGTTTTTCGCTATAGGGCACATGCGCTCGCCAGACAGAGACATAGAGACAGAAAGCGAGAAATCACCCCCCAGGGGGGATGGTCACGCTGCAATCCCTTCTCTTCCATTCTCCTCTTGGGATCTTGGGCACGCACGCACACGCGCCCGGCATGAGTTTTAAGCCACTGGGTCCGGGACGTGAACCGCGGTCGACTACGTGGGAGTCCAGTGACATAGCCATTACGCTAACTGCTCGTTCCCATAATTTATGCATTTTTTGATATGACATGTCTAAGCTCTTACCACATGCCTGAAACAGAATAGGTATTGGTTCACATGTTCTATGTAATATACACTGTCTAAAGTTGCAATGTGAGGTGTATGTGCTTAAAACTATGTCCATATTAAAGATGAGAAAATAAAGTTATCCAAAGACATCTAACTGGTAAATAGTAAAGCCTAAGGTGAACCCAGAAAATCTTTCTCTTGAGAAATCATGTTGACTGTAGTGTCTTCCATCAGAGATAGGTGAAACATCATGACAAAATAAGTAGGCACTTTGGCATGTCAAAATTAATGAGGTAAATTTATCTTTTGAATGATATCTTTAACAATTTGTTTTCGTTTATTATTATGTTTTAAAAATACTCTACCAGAGGGGATGTGTACTTGCCAGAGAGAGAGAGACAGAGGAGAAATAGAAAACACCTTCCGATGGGACGTGGCTATGATGCAATCCCTTAGCCTCCATTTCTGCAAACACCAGGCTATAGGGCTGGGCCCTAAATCGCATCTCATTAGTTAAGTTTTTGTCTTCCTACTCAATTTTTCCTGTTAAATGTTTGTCATCATTTCTTTAAAATATATATGCTATACTAAAGCAGAGAGATCCTATGATATTGTAGAAAGACAGTTTTGGGGGCTCAAACACCCTGGGTTTACATGCTAGTTCCTGATGATTGGTTGTGTGCACAGTACTTAAACTCTCGGCCTCAGTTTTCTCACCTGCAAGACACACTATTCCACCCCAGGGTTACCACGCAGAGTGGAGATGATCTGTGTAATAGCATCTCACTGAGCTTGCATGCAGTTAAATGTGGTGACTATAATTTAACAACAAAAAATCAGACATTAAAAATATCACGAAACACATCAAAATCTGTTTTCTGTTTAAATCTTTCATGACCATGGGCTTTGGGCTTTTTGTGTTTTCTTTATGCCTTATATTGTCCTTTGGACAGAAAACTGTGGTAGACGCCCCCACAGATGCTTATTTTTGCTTCTTTCTTTTTCTCAGCCAACTTCCCTGATAACATGCTTTTGCGAAGCTCAGGAAAACTAAATGTGGGCACCAAGAAAGAGGATGGTGAGAGTACAGCCCCCACCCCTCGTCCGAAGGTCTTGCGTTGTAAATGCCACCACCATTGCCCAGAAGACTCTGTCAACAATATTTGCAGGTTGGTGATATGAATTATTTAAACTCAGCTGCAACAGAAAATCACGGCTTTTCAACTACCGAACTGAGGGCTCTTGTTTTGAAGAAGAGTGTCTGACTTCACTAGCTCAAGTTGTGCCTGCATTTAGAGAAATACCGAAGCATGTCATACACCGAAAGGCTGTTTTGAGACTCTTTTCCTTCCTCCAGTAGCACATGCGTACACATAAACCGAGTGCAGATTCTGGAACCTTGTGAAGGAGCAAAATCTCATTATTTTTCTTTTAAAAGACCTGGCCTGCAGAGTCAGTTTTAATAACAGGTTGTGTCAAATACATATAGAGGTTTTCGTTTTAACTGTTCAGCATATGCTTATAGTGTTAGTATTCTGGAAGGAACACCTAAGCTGTTAGAATATTCATAACCTGGTGGTGGGTACCAGTGAGTGACAGAGCTTAAGTGAGTCCACCAGATGTTAGGGAGGGTGCTGTCAGAGTACTGGAAAATAAACTCTTTACTAGGTGATCATGTTTGTATAGATCATTTCTAACATTTGAAAATGGGCTATTTTAAAATTGTTCCTTACACATCTATATGCAGCCACATCCACTGTCTTTTTTTTTTTTTTTTGAGAGAGATTTTCACTGTAGGGCGCGTGCGTTCGCCAGACAGACAGAGACATAGAGACAGAAAGCGAGACACGCCGCAATCCCTTCTCCTCCATTCTCCTCTCAGGATCTTAGGCACGTACGCACACGCGCCCGGCGTGAGTTTTAAGCCACCAGGTCCGGGACATGAACCGCGGTCGACTACGTGGGAATCCAGCGACATAGCCATTATGCTAACTGCTGGTTCCCCACATCCACTGTCTTGATCACTATAGTTGTATTTCCTCTCTGGGCTGAGGACAACCATGACTAAAGAACTCTAGCTTGAGACCAGCACATGGCATAATGGTTACATCACCAGACTCCCATATGACTGACCACAGTTCAAGTCCCAAACCCAGCAGTTTTAAACTCACGCTAGGAATGTGTGTGTGTGTGTGTGTGTGCCCAAAATCCCAAGAGGAGAATAGAGGAGAAGGGACTGCAGCATGGTCACCTCCACTGAGGGGTGATTTCTTGCTTTCTCTCTCTCTGTCTCCCTGTCTCCCTCTCTCTCTCTCTGTCCACCAAGTGCATGCTCCCTACAAAAATCTCTCTCTCTCTCAAAAAAAAAAAAAAAAAAAAAAGAACTTTAGCTTAGTGAGACCAGAGTATGCAGAAGTGGTAAGTTGACCAGGCAAGTGTGGATCTCAGGAGTTAAAAGGTCAGAGAACCAGAGTGTGCCTTGAGGCAGATCACAGACTCAAATAGCAAGCTGGACTGCTGGGTCCAGAGTGAGACAGGATATGTGGGTGACCATGTTGGGCTCCGTTAGCCAGAAGGTGCATCAAGCCAAGCTGAATGCTTTTTCTTCTTTTCAACAGCTTCTGAAAGGTTCCCATAAACTGAAATCTAATATCTTACCATTGTATTCTGAGAACTAGTGTATACAGCATGAGAAATAATATTAATCGAATAACATAGGGGATATTCATAAATATCTCATTTAATCAGCAGCGTAACTCAGCACTGTAGGGAATGCGTATTCTCACTTTTAGACATAGGGAATTTGGGCTCCAGAGAGTTCTAGCAGCTTGGCTTTTGTACTGTAGAGCAGAGTTGGAATCGCTGAGTCTTATGCCAAGGTAAAATTATTCCAAAGCTTAGGCAGTTTTTCCAGGGTAACACTGCCTCTTTATAGTAAACAGAAAAGGTAAACATTTTTATGAAGAAAGCAAAAGTAGCAGGAGGAAGCAGCTGTGAGGACTATTTTACCATTCTGTCTAGGTCTGTAGTGGTCAGACTACATCCATGTGTGCATTTGCGCTGTTCTCCAAGTGAGCACATCGCAGAGTTTTCTAAAACTGTCTCAATTTCAGATACGGTTGTTCCCTGGATGACATGGATTTGAACTGGGTGGTCCACTTGCACGTGGGTTACTTTTCCAACAAGCATATTAGAAAATTCAGTATAGTACTATAAATGTATTTTCTTTTCCTTATGATTTTCTTAATAGTTTTTCTCTAGCTTTGCTGTAAGAACACAATATATAATAAATGTAATGTTATAAAAATATGTGTTCATCAATTGCTTATTTATTCAATGAGGGTTCCAGTCAAGAGAAGGCTACTGGTAATTAAGTTTTGGGGGAATCAAAAATTACATGTGGTAATCTGTAACTAGTGGCTGGAGTAGTGGTTAAGGAGCTAAACTTCCACGTGGACATCTGTACTTCAAGTCCTGAACCCAGCAGCTTGAAAATCATGCTGGCCAGATGTGTGCATGTGCCCAGAATCCTGAGAGGAGAATGGAGGAGAACGGTATGGCATGACCATCCCCCCCGTGAGGTGACTTCTCACTTTCTCTCTCTCTGTCTCTCTCTAGCAAGCACATGCACCCTATGGCAAAAACAGACACACAAATACGGATTTTCAGCGATGCGAGGATAAGCACCTCACCCCTGCATTGTTCAGTATTTAGCTGTATTTCGTCTCATTTTTCCTATGTGCCATGGAAGAATCCTAGTCTGGTTTGGGAGAAAGTATTCAGACAAAGGGCAGAGCAATGGAAATTCTCTGTTGGGGGACGTAAAGGCTTGGCATGTTCGAAGGAGACTGGCTTGTCTGGAATACAGGGAGTAGGAAGAGGTGGTAGGAGTTGAGCCTAGAGACAGGAAAGGAGACTGTAGCCTGGGAGGCTGTAGTAGGGATGCCGGTCTTATGCCTAAGAGCACTGAGAAGCCTTTGAAGGGGATGTGTAAGCAGAAGAGGCAGTGGAGGTTGACATGTTTAATTTTTTGGATAATTTTCTTTGCTGCAGAGTATTAAATGTGTTAGAAGAAGCAAAAGTCCATTCAAGAAGGAAAGTAGGGTCAGAGAAATTGAACAGTAGACTGAGTAAGAACAGTTCGTGGGAGAGAAAATAGTGTGAATGAGAGTGATTCTGGTGTAGCGGAGAGTTGGCTGTGTTTGAGAAAAATAGAGCAGATAAAGTGCGTCGATAGATTGAATATGAGGCGGTGGAGGTCAGGAGGTGTTTTTCAAGTTGTGGACATAGATTTAGATGCATAGTTTACCAATCTTTTAGTGGACGAAGGTAAGAAAAAAAAAGAAAAACAGTTCTAGTTTGGACATGCTAAGCTTGAGGTCCTTGATGTTTAAGTAGAGGAAGCAAAGATTGCACACTAGGATGAGAACTGAGAGCTCAGGTAAGAGGTTGAGAAGAGGCCCAGCTGCGGTGGTGCAGGTGGCAGGGCACCATTGCCTGAAGCTGAGGCCAGGTTGGGGGAGGGGGTCCAGATTCAGATCCTGAACCAACCTGAAGAGGCAGGTGCATTGGCATGGCCCATAGGTCTAGCTGGCTGGGATACTCGGGCAGAGAGTCTTAATGGAGAGAACTTGTCCAGAAAATATTTGTCTCTCTTTCTTTCTAGCACCCTACTTTTCTTTCCTCCTTCCTTCTCATTAAAAAGAAAACAGAAAGGGGGATGGCAGGTCACATGGTGACCATGTGACTGACTGTAGTTCAAATCCTGGACCTGGCAGCTTGCTTTCTCACTTTTTAGCGCTCTCTCTCTCTCTCTCTCTCTCTCTTACTCTCACTCTAACTCTGTCCCTCTCTGGCCAAATTAAAATTAAATAAATAAATAAATAAATAAAATAATTGTTTTTCTTTTTTTTTTTTTGGAGAGGTTTTTGCTATAGGGCACGTGCGCTCTCCAGACAGAGACAGACAGACAGAAAGCGAGAAATCACCTCCCAGAGAGGATGACTACGCCGCAATCTCTTCTCCTCAGTTCTCCTCTTGGGATCTTGGGCACACATGCACATGCGCCTGGTGTGAGTTTTAAGCCACCGGGTCCAGGACATGAACCGTAGTCGACTACATGGGAGTCCAGCGACATAGCCATCATGCTAACTGCTGATCCCCAATAATTGTTTTTCTTAAAAAAGGAGGTTAGGGCGAGACAACCTTAAAACCACCACCTTACACCTGAAGACATTCATTTTCTCATTCAGGAATTTCTGAGTGGGCTTTAGCTGTGCTGGGCTTGATTGAGTTTGGGTGCCTTGACCTCAGTCCATTCTGTGTTCTTGGACCAGCATCTACCCAGGAGATACTCTTTCTCATATGTGTATTAAGAAGTAACCTCTTAAAGCTTCTGCTTATGTCAGTCTTCCAATATTCCACTTAGCCAATCAGATGGCACAGCCACGCTCAAAGTTTAGGAGAAGCTGTGGCTGTGGTGAGTGAGGTGTGAAGAACTGGGGTTGGTAATAGAACAGTCTCACCTACCAGAGTAGCACAGAGCGTTGAGTTGTTCAGTGCCCAGATAAAGGAGGGACACCCTCCTGGGGACACCCCAGGAGACTGAGAATCAGCAGTAACGCAGGGAGAACAGTGCCACGGAAGCCAGGTTTACAGATGGAGGTAGGAAGTCCAGGTCCAACTAGATTAGATGTTATGTGATGTCAAGTAGAGTAAGGATGTGGCAGACATATTTATTGGCATCGGTAACTACAGTTTATAGATATTTCATGTAGCAGAGATGGAAGCCAGATGGGAATAGCCTGTGACTTATATGGTTGCCAATTTTGATTTATGATAGCAACGCATACAAAACTACAATGGAAACAAAAACAGCAACAATATCAGTGCACCCCTGAAAGGAAAGTGGGTGTACGATTACAGTCAATCCAGACAGATTAACTTGTAGAAAGTCAGGAAACTAATATTTTCTGAAACTTTTATAAATATTATGTTTACTTCAATCTTTCTTTAATCAGTATAGCATTCTTATAAAGAACATGGCATTGTCTGTATTTCCAAGTGAGAATCTGAAGCTCTGTAAGGTTAATTAATTTTCAGTAGGTATGATGTAAAGATAAGAAAATTGTGGCCAAGATTACAGAGTCTTAAAATTCTTGGCTGTCAGTCACGTCTTGACATCAGTTCTCACTGGAGCAA